GACCGCCCACAAGATCCCACATAGAGCCTGACCACTCACACGATCCCACATGAAGCCTGACCACCCACAAGATCCCACATGGAGCCTGACCGCCCACAAGATCCCACATGGAGCCTGACCACCCACAAAATCCCACATGAAGCCTGACCACCCACAAGATCCCACATGAAGCCTGACCACCCACAAGATCCCACATGGAGCCTGACCACCCACAAAATCCCACATGAAGCCTGACCACTCACACGATCCCACATGAAGCCTGACCACCCACAAAAATTCCCCCATGAAGCCTGACCCCCACAAGATCCCACATGGAGCCTGACCACCCACAAAATCCCACATGAAGCCTGACCACTCACACGATCCCACATGGAGCCTGACTACCCACAAGATCCCACGTGGAGCCTGACCACCCACAAGATCCCACAAGGAGCCTGTCCACCCACAAGATCCCACATGAAGCCTGACCACCCACAAGATCCCACATGGAGCATGACCACCCACAAGATCCCACATGAAGCCTGACTACCCACAGATCCCACATAGAGCCTGACCGCCACAAGATCCACAGGAAACCTGACCACCCACAAGATCCCACAGGAACCTGACCACCCACAAAATATCCTGACCACCACAAGATCCCACAAGGAGCCTGACCACCACAAGATCCCACAGACAGCCATCCCCGACCACCCACAAGAACAAAACCCACATGGAGCCTGACACCCACAAGATCCCACATTGAGCCTGACCACCCACAAAATCCCACATGGAGCCTGACCACTCACAAGATCCCACATGGAGCCTGACCACTCACACGATCCCACATGAAGCCTGACCACCCACAAGATCCCACATGGAGCCTGACCGCCCACAAGATCCCACATGGAGCCTGACCACCCACAAAATCCCACATGAAGCCTGACCACCCACAAGATCCCACATGAAGCCTGACCACCCACAAGATCCCACATGGAGCTTGACCACCCACAAAATCCCACATGAAGCCTGACCACTCACACGATCCCACATGAAGCCTGACCACCCACAAGATCCCACATGAAGCCTGACCACCCACACGATCCCACAAGGAGCCTGACCACCCACAAAATCGCACATGAAGCCTGACCACCAACAAGATCCCACATGGAGCCTGACCACCCACAAGATCCCACATGGAGCCTGACCATCCACAAGATCCCACATGGAGCCTGACCACCCACAAGATCCCACATGGAGCCTGACCACCCACAAGATCCCACATGGAGCCTGACCACCCACAAGATCCCACAAGGAGCCTGGCCACCCACAAGATCCCACATGAAGCCTGACCACCCACAAGATCCCACATGGAGCATGACCACCCACAAGATCCCACATGAAGCCTGACCACCCACAAGATCCCACATAGAGCCTGACCGTCCACAAGATCCCACAAGGAGCCTGACCACCCACAAGATCCCACAAGGAACCTGACCACCCAAAAGAATCCTGACCACCCACAAGATCCCACAAGGAGCCTGACCACCCACAAGATCCCAGAAGGAACTCTAGATCCCACAAGGAGTGCTCGCAGACAGAACTAAGGAATATGAAAGGCTATTAATCCCTGAGGAACCCAGGGAAGGATACCGCTGGAGGGAAGAGGTGATCCTGCAGAGTGTTAGTCTTCTCGGTAGTCATTTGCATGGAACTCCGCGTCCGCGGAAGCCTTGTCCAAGGCAAATGACAATAGCTAGTATGGTAATCTATATAGATTGAACCCCACAGGCTATGGCAGGTAGAGGGAGGGAGGTTTGTGGGAGAGCTTGGACTGAGTTTGTGGGAGGGAGGGAGGGTGGGAGTTTGGGAGGGACGAAGGAAGGGACGGGAAAGAGGGAGGGAAGAAGTGAGAAGATATCATGGAGTAGAAATTGAGTGAGGAGGAAAGATTTTTGCTTCTTCAGAAACAACTGTGGATTTTCCTTCGTTTCACCTATGTTAATCAAATTATTATTATAATTATTATTATTATTATTATTATTACCATAAAGCACCTTGGGGAATTAAAGGTAATCAAGTATGATCCAAGGAAATGTAAGGTAACTCCACTTGTTAAATCATGAACGTCAAGTCTTGAATACGAGACGATCAAGAAGACTCCCGGGACCACACTACGCGACGCGAAGAACCTGAATGATTCAGAAGCAATAACAAAAAAAAATGTTCGTCCCACCTCCTTCGTGGTTACCATTAATGCCTCCTTCAGGTTTGCAGCCTTTGGAGGAAGGGCATATTATACCCACTGGTCGACAACAGATGTCCGGTACGGCATTATAAAACCCTCAGCTGATTTAAGGACCTCGAGCGCTGTAAATGACGACACTACTCGACCATCTTTCAGGAATTTACAAGGTGGGTAACTTGTGTGTCTGACGGAGTGGGTGAAGGTGGAGTGGGGGGGAGGCCTCGCCGAGGGTCCTCACTGATCGCTTCAATGAGCCTCCCAACGTCACATCTTGGGCAAGAAGTCGCTGGTATCATGTGCTGATGAGTGGAGGATAGAGGAAGGTTGAGGGAGCCGCATGCGGCCGCGGCGGCGGCACCCGCTGCGCTGGCAACTCCCTTTGGGAGGAAGTTTTTGCACCTTCTTCGTTTATGACACCAATTACACACGACTTCGGACAGCACGAGAGTGTGTATGAGGAGCTGTGTGTGTGTGTGTGTTGTGTGTGTGTGTGTGTGTGTGTGTGTGTGTGTGTGTGTGTGTGTGTGTGTGTGTGTGTGTGTGTGTGTGTGTGTGTGTGTGTGAGGAAGAAAGTCTGAACGCACGTAACATTATAACAAATCCATGAGCCTGAGAGAATTGAACCTTTTGAGTTTTTGAGCAGCAACCAAATACATGAACCTCGGAGCACTTAGAGAGAGAGAGACTAGTCCCCTAAGGTGATCCAATTAAATAAACAAGCTTGTAATATATATTATATATATATATATATATATATATATATATATATAATATATATATATATATATATATATAATATATATATTTATATATATATGTAACACCGAGGGATTCTGACGATCAGGAGACAGTCCATCCTCAGGTAGACAGTTAATTTTATTGGATTGCGTGTGGCGGAGGAGGCAACATGTGACCTTCAGGAAGAACCTACGAACCGCATACTTTGGTGAACCTCGTCAGTGTGGACACTGCTCCAGAACCTCATTTGAAAGGCGAACGCAAAAAAAAATGGCAGGCAGCCGAACACTTTTATGAAGTAGGATTTTAATATATGTAAATGGCTGCAGTGACTTAGCGTATTAGTCTGCATGTTAAAATATATATTTATTTGCGTAATATAGAAACTGCACAATATCACTTTATATATATATATATATATATATATATATATATATAATATATATATATATATATATATATATATATATATATATATATATATATATATATATATATATAAAGGATGAACCAGCGAGTGCTTAGTAGCACTGACAAGCCCCAACACAGCTCCAACACACCTTCAACACAGCTTCAACACAGTTCCAACATAGCATTGACGCAGCTTCAACACAGCTTCAACACAGCTTCAACACAGCTTCAACACGGCTCCAACACTGTGATACAGATGAAGCTTCACTTATGCATATGTTAACCATGCGTGTTATATGCCGTTACCACCGGGCAGGGCTACGTGTGAATTGTTTAGGGGTGGCAGTGGTAAATGTGAGGGAGAGGGGAAGAGCCAGTGAGAGGGTAAGAACCGGGGTGAGGGCAAGAGTCAGTGAGAGGGGAAGAACCAGGGAGAGAGCAAGAGTCAGTGAAAGGGGAAGAACCAGGGAGAGAGCAAGAGCCAGTGAGAGGGGAAGAGCAGGGAGAGGACAAGAGCCAGTGAGAAGGTAAAAACCAGGGAGAAGGCCAGAGCCAGTGAGAGGGGAAAAGCAGGGAGGGAAGGAAACAAGGAAAGGGCAAAGGGTGGGACTGGTGTAGTGATCACTGGATACAATAATATAGCTGCTTCGACTATTACCTGGAGTCTACCAGGGATCGCTTCCGGAGGTCATCTTTCCTCGACCCGGTTCCAGACCAGGACTCCTGGTTGTTGGCCTGATCGATCACGCTGTTAGTGCGCGCCGCCTGCAGTCCAACGTATATACCACAACCCGGCTGAGTAAGAACATTTTTGAAGAGTCTGTAGATATCCCTCCTGAAGAAAGCTAAGGGTTTGTTGGTAATCCTTATAATGCATGAAGGGATGAAGAAATGAAGGGATGGTGGTGAAGAGTCGTGGTCTTATGACACTTATTGAGTTCTCTCATCGATTCCCTGCATTTCATTGGAGGTATTCTTCACTGTCGGCTAAGCCACTTGTTTTTATATGTAGTGATTTCGGTATGCAGGTTTGAGATCAATCCCTTTAGTGTCTTTAAGGTGTAGAGTATGATTTGTCTGTCTCCCCTACGTTCTAAGGAGTACAGTTCTACAAACTTCAAGTGCTCCTAGTAACTTAGGTGCTTGACTGAATTTATACGAGCAGTGAAGGTTCTGTGTGCATTTTCCAGCTTGGCAATTTCGCCTGCCTTGAAGCCTAATATCTTCTATTCCTTCTCCTTCTCCTTCTTAAGGGTATGTCTGGAACACTGAATACTAAAGTATTCAGTGATACGTTGATAGCGTGGCTTTACAACTGCATTCTCGATATCTGTGAATAATAGTTACTGAACCTTGCACAATAACACGTTCCTTCATACCTCGCTGAAGCTTACACTGAGCGAAAACTTTTCATATATCAGAGTTCCTGGAGAGCGAAACGTTGCCACAGTAAAACGTCATATTAGTTATATCTGTGTCCTTTTACCTAACAGAATTACGTAGGCAAACGCACCCAGATTAGTAGTATTGTATTTTATTCATCTATAGTTGTGAATGTCACAGACTACCCACTTATACACATTAACAAGGGATACTCATGCATAGCCATGCCACAGCTACCTACCTCTGTGAGGACGGTGAAGAGCTCCCTAGGTCTGAGCTTGGCGTGGACAAACACATGGTACACCCCACAGACCGCCAGGGCGGGGGTTTTGCCGTTTTCCCTTTGGTCAGAAAGGGAAGAGCGGGCGGAAAACCAGGGCCGCCCCTACCACCCCCGCCGCCCAACCGCCCGCCCCCCCGCCCCCCTCTTTTGCCGGGGGGCACGCACGAAAGGCCCGCAGTACGAATTTAGGAGAGAAGCCCCCCAAAGGAAAAAAAAAGCAGCTCCTACATCGGCGGGGCCCGGGCCCCACGCCCGCCCCCGGCCTGGGTTGGATGGGTGGGCGGCGAAGAGCAGAGGGGCGGGGGTGCTGCCAGGCGCGGGGTGAGGAGTAAAGCGGGCGCGCCAGCCCCGGGGGGAAAAGGCCCCCGGGGCCCTGCCACGTGCCAGGGGGAAAATTCGTCCCCGTGGAAATGACCGTGGGGGGCCCCCTCTGACAAATTTTTTTTTGATTCTGAGGCAAAGAGACAGCCCCACTTAAAACGGGGGGAAACAGGTTTGCCTGTAATGCGACAGACACTCTATAAATAAAAACAGATGAAACACGCATCGTAAGCAACAGACACATCAACAAGTAAACACCCCAGAAAACAGAAAAAACACTCACATCAGGGCAACGGGGGAAACACACATCATTAAGAAACCCGGGCACATCAACGGGGAAAAACACTCAGTAACAAACATGAACGGGAAAAACCTCACGTCAGCCCCAAAAAAAGGAAAAACCATACACCAACGGGACAAAAATAAAAAACATATCAATATGGGGCCAGACATACACTAGCATAAACCCAAACAACAGGTAAACGGGAACAACAACAAAAAAAACATTACCCTTTTATCTATGTTGATATATAAATCCCTTGCTTAAACAAGGCAAATCAAGCGGGATGGGGAAAAAATATGTCCTTAGAAAAAGGAAAAAAACGTTTTAAAAAGAACTTTCAAGAATAGAAAAAAAAAAACGTGGAAAACGCAATTCCCTTTTTTTAGACCGTTTTTTGAAAATTCAAAAGTTTTTTTTTATTAAAGAGTCCATGGAGGCAAAATATAATAACTAAACATTGGGGAAAAACCCCAAATACCCGAAAAAAAAATCTCTGGCAGGAGAGGGAGGATTGCCCCCCAAACCCGAAAGAGAGGGGCGGTGGGTGGACGGTAGACTTGTGGGGGCCGTGTGGGTGGGGGTGTCCCCCCGAATCAAACCCAAAACAGCTGGGGAGAGAGGGGCGTGGGCAGCACATCAGGATTTCGGCTTTATGGCCGGCTGTAAACAAAGAGAATGGAAAGTGGGTAAATCGGGGAAAAACGGGAGATAATGGGGGTGCGCGGATAGGGCAAAACTGAGAAAAAAAAAATGGGGGGAAAATTTCAGATAAAAACCCCCTGGAAAAAAATTGGGAAAGGAGGAACAAAGAAGAAAATGCTAAAACAGAAAAAAGGCAACAATTTAGAAAATGGGGAAAGCAGAGATATGAGCAAACCCGGAAAATAATTTGGGAATAAATAATATAGATAATATTGGTGAAAATGGGACATATAAAATAAGCAAAACAGAAGACGGATTGAAATAATGCCAACTAGGAAAAAGGAACGAATTAGATATGGGATTTAAAGCAATAAATTTGGTACAAAAAATAATGTCCTCAGAGGAGCACTAGTATGATTTCAAACGAACAAAATCTGTTGAAATATCCATAAGCGCTAAAGTCGTAGGGGTTATACAGCGCCTGGGAAATGGGGAGGGGGTAATCAGATTTGCTCTTTGTGGAACATAGTTCCAGTTTCTTGGAACAAGAGCTCTTCTCTAGTATCAAGGAAACTCTTTCAAGGGAAAACGAGAATCACGCAAAGAGAATAAGTTTGGAGAGGGTTTTTTTATATCAGGTTTAAAGCGTATCGACTACACAAAGATCATTAAAGGTGGATGCCACCAGTTTTCTACCAGTCAAGAGTATTAAAACCCCTGTCATAGGGATTAGAATAAAACTCCCAGCATATATACACAGCCAGACATACACCTGACTGTATAAATATTCTTGGATGGTTTAAATTACCTCGTTTGCTTAACAGAATCAACTAGTGAGAGACTCAGTGAGAGAGACTCAGTGAGAGAGACTCAGTGAGAGAGACTCAGTGAGAGAGACTCAGTGAGAGAGACTCAGCGATGAGAGAGACTCAGTGGAGAGAGACTCAGTGGAGAGAGACTCAGTGAGAGAGCTCCGGACACTCGTGATAGAGAGATCAGTGAGAGAGAGACTCAGTGAGAGAGACTCAGTGAGAGAGACTCAGTGAGAGAGACTCAGTGAAAGAGACACTCAGTAAGAGAGACTCAGTGAGAGAGACTCAGTGAGAGAGACTCAGTGAGAGAGACTCAGTGAGAGAGACTCAGTGAGAGAGAGACTCAGTGAGAGAGAGACTCAGTGAGAGAGACTCAGTGAGAGAGACTCAGTGAGAGACACTCAGTGAGAGAGAGACTCAGTGAGAGAGAGACTCAGTGAGAGAGACTCAGTGAGAGAGACTCAGTGAGAGACACTCAGTGATAGAGAGACTCAGTGAGAGAGAGACTCAGTGAGAGAGAGACTCAGTGAGAGAGACTCAGTGAGAACAGAGACTCAGTGAGAGACACTCCAGGATAGAGAGACTCAGTGAGAGAGAGACTCAGTGAGAGAGAGACTCAGTGAGAGAGAGACTCAGTGAGAGAGAGACTCAGTGAGAGAGACTCAGTGAGAGAGACTCAGTGAGAGACACTCAGTGATAGAGAGACTCAGTGAGAGAGAGACTCAGTGAGAGAGAGACTCAGTGAGAGAGAGACTCAGTGAGAGAGAGACTCAGTGAGAGAGACTCAGTGAGAGAGAGACTCAGTGAGAGAGACTCAGTGAGAGAGACTCAGTGAGAGAGACTCAGTGAGAGAGAGACTCAGTGAGAGAGAGACTCAGTGAGAGAGACTCAGTGAGAGAGACTCAGAACGGAGGTTAGTTAACATTATATACTCTTACATATCTTGGTTCATCATGACAGTTCATTCTTAGCGAGTTATCCACAGTACTCACTTCATCAATGATTCCATTCCACGGAACGGTTGGGAATTGAACCCATGGCAAGTGACCCTAAAGCTCCAGGTTTGGAGTTTTAAGACTCACTCGCAGCGGGTTCAACCCCCAGCCGTTCCGTGGGTTGTTTGCAATCGTGTCATTACGATTTCGTGAGTCATTGATTACATTCTCTGTTCGCTAATGAACTGGTTTGTTTCGACTTTATAGGCTGTGGGTGAAGAAATCTCACAGGAGACACAGACAAGGAAGAACGGTAGTTTTATGTATGTTTCGACCTCCATCTAAGGTCCTCTTCAGCAGAAGCCTGGTGAAGGAATGTAACCTCTATCACAAGATCTTATTGTGTCTGTGTTTCCTGGGTGAAAGTTATCGATTCTCACTAGCCGTCAATCACAGCACAGCACTGCACAGCACTACACAACACAGTACTGCACAGCACAGCACAGCACAGCACTGCAGTTCACAGCACGGCACTACACAGCACAGCACTGCACAACACAGCACTGAACAGTACAGCACAGCACTACACTGCTGTTATGCAGTTGATGAGCTTCGCAGTCCCTCACCTTCTCCTTCGCATTTTGCAAGTGGAGAATTTCCTTTGAATACAGTAACAACAGTAATAATAATAACACTGACAATAATAGCCCACATAATCAAATATTAAAGAAAATGGGAAGAACAAACCCTGTTGTAAGACTGACAGAGAAGCATCGATTTTTCCCCCAGGAGGAAGCGGTGTGAGGAAGCAGTAAACTCTCAGGGGTGAGTCCTCTCTGAAGACGTGGGAGGTGATCAGGTTTAATCTAAAGAAGTGGAGGAAAGCTGCAGTTCCTTGGATGAAGAGCCCCTCACAGGCGTCGAAGCCCCATCGGGCTTAGTGCTTTCCATTGATAGAGACGTAGGTGCTGATAAGTACATTTATCGTTATTTTTCTTGATCTCTTCTCTTGTTCTCAGTCTTGTAATATTTCTTTCCCATTTCCGAGCCTGGTCTAGGACCGGGCAGGGGGGGTGATCGCCAGGAATTTTAAGTGATCTACTAAATTATTTTATTCTTCATTAAGCCACTTAAATATACCAGATAGCAGGTATTTTTTTTAGGGTATTCATGCGAATATTGAATATACCAGATATCAGGTATTATCTATAAAAAACTGTGATACTGATGCCGGTGATGGGCTCTTGATTCAGGGAATTTGATCTACCCTCACACGCTGTATGACTCTTACGTATTTAGCGTTTACCATTAATTAAAAATAATAATAAGTCCCAAAGATTTCCAATATTTATCTTTTTTTTTAAATTCCATGTGTACGTATTCACTAACACAGCCATGTAACACTTACATGTGCGCGTTTATGTACTTACACTGGCGATCTGATAATGGCTCAGAACGGAGCGAAACAACGTCTAAAGTTACTTCTCCGAATTATGGGTTAGATTTAAATTTTTCCAATCACAGTATTGTGGCTCTGATTCTCGTTTTGTTCAATTAAATGTATCACATGTTCCATAGGATACACTGAACACACTGCTGAACACACTGCTGAACACACTGCTGAACACACTGCTGAACACACTGCTGAACACACTGCTGAACACACTACTGACACTGTGAGACTTGCGGCACCCTGTTTAACACCTGGGAACATGCTGAAACTGTGAAGACATTGCGAAAACTGTGAACACACTATGCCCCATGTGCATGTGAAAAATTGGGGAAAACTGTGCCAACTTTCCCCCATGTGAAAAACTGTGAAGACAT